CGTTGGCTCACCTACCTGCTGACCAACTTGGGAGAGCCGCCTCGTTCTCCTCCAGTGCTGTACGTCGACAACAAGGCCATGATTGCCTTGTATCAGGAGCACAGACTGGAGCATAGAACGAAGCACATCACTCTGCGCTACTTCCTTGCTCGAGAGTTGCAGCAGCGTGGTCAGCTTCGTCTTGCCTACGTGGCCAGTCGGGCCAACACTGCTGATGTTTTCACCAAGGCACTTCAGCCTTGTGATCATCAGCGTTTCTATACTGTTCTAGGCCTTGTGCCCACTGGGCCACACTTGCTTACTTCTTGACTTTGCTTGTACTGTGATCGTTATACATATACCTGCATGCTTACACTTGCTAGGTTGTGATCACTGTATTGTTTGTTCGCCTTTATATAACTCTGCATGTGAACTGGCCTTGTGGCCATTTGCTTGTGCTCAGAATGCGTGGTGACTTCGTGATCCACCCTGAGCTTGCTTTGTTTCTCTTGACTCGTCTTGTGACCTCTTGTTCTCCCCCACTTTGCCTATGGGGGTGTGTCAAACTTATATGCTATAGTCTCCTAGGGTAGGTTGTAGTGGGGTAGTTCATATGGGGTACTCCTTATGCTGCTCAATGCAATCATTCCTCGTTCTATCTTTCACAGTAACAATCGGAGGGGTAAGTTAAGTACCAAGTTTCGTGAACTTGCCTACGCCTTTCTCTGTGACGATTTGGGGGAGCGCATTGACAACAGTCCAGAAGCGCGGCGCCAATATGCCTCGGATAACCTGTCAGGTAAATGTAAGGTTTTTTTTTCTGCTTATCACACAAAGCTTTGCTGACCAGAATTGTGTTGCCTCATTGCAGAGAAATTTGGCGTCCCATGGCATGCGCTGGATGGAACACCATTTTGCAGTGAAGCATTCAACGAAGCAGCTGCTGCGTGGTACAAGGAAGAGCCAGCAGTGGTGGCACTCACCATCGATCAGATGTGCTCCATGTTTCTGGCAGTGAGTGTTATTGATTTCGGTTTGTTGTAATATGTACATTTTAAATCTGTATAATGTTTTAATGATGTATTTCTGCGGCTTACAGGTTTAGAACAGCATGCTGACAGGAAAACCCAGCCTAACTGCTGACAGCACCGCCAACATGAGGGAGATGGACAAGAGGCATAATCAGATTTGTTAAAATTAGGAGCATAGTAGCTTAGGGTTTGAACTAGGTGAGGGTGACGAGAGGAAATAGCAAGCCAAAAGAGGGGGTTTCACTAATGAGAAATGAGAGTACAAATAGGCAAACAGCAACACAAAGAGGTGCACCACCAAACATGATGCAATAACTACACTACAACTGCAAACGATTATATAAAATATGTGAACATATTTTGACACGCCCCCATAATTGTTTGCAGGAGTAAGTGTAAAACGCCCCCTGATGGGGTACACCAAGAGTGCAGCGGAAGAAGCAGAAGCAGGCAAGAGCAGTAGTAGCCGGTGCAGGAGTGGCAAATACAGCTGTAGCACGCCCTCAGCCAAAGCAGAAGCAGTAGCAGGTGTAGGGGCGGCCGGTCGCCTGAGGAGCAGGCTCTGTGGCTGCAACGTGCAGCAGGACAGCAGCGGCTCGACGGCAGCACCTGCAGGCCCCAGCAGCAGTCAACAGAAACAAGAGAAGGTGGAGGCAGGGGCGGCAGCAGGAGGTGCCACGGTAGCAGCGGGTGGCAGCTGCAATTTCCTGACTGACTTCCGCCACCCTCTCTTACCCTCCCCCCCACAGCAGCACGAGCGGCAGTGAGAGAGAGAGGAGGGGCGGCTGTTGGCTTTGCAGAATCTCTCTCGCCACCCCCTCACACTCCCCCCGCCCCCTTTCACTGGCGTACGAGCAGCTCGTGCGGGGCAGGGGAGCGGCGCAGTTGCGCGCGGCCATACGCGGCTGCGCGCGGCTGTGCGCGGCTTCACGTGCCCGTACGTAGCTTCGCGCAGCTGCGCGTGGCTGTGGCAGCTCGTAACGGGGCGGGTAGCGCGGGGCGGGTGACAGGGCGAAGAAACAACGGGGCGACCCGAGCCGCCCAGCTCGTCGCCATGACAGCAGGGTCGACGATGCAGTGCGACGGGCAGGAGACGGGCAGGTTACGGGCAGCAGCAGACAGCTCGCCGTCGCGCCCGTCACATCAGTCGCAACTAAGGGCACGACGGGCGCCACAAACCGAGAAATACGCGGTGGGCCCATTGAGAATGAAAAGGTTAGGTCTTAGGACGACCTAGCTCTTAATACCATGTTAAAATTAGGAGCATAGTAGCTTAGGGTTTGAACTAGGTGAGGGTGACGAGAGGAAATAGCAAGCCAAAAGAGGGGGTTTCACTAATGAGAAATGAGAGTACAAATAGGCAAACAGCAACACAAAGAGGTGCACCACCAAACATGATGCAATAACTACACTACAACTGCAAACGATTATATAAAATATGTGAACATATTTTGACAAGATTCTGAACTGGCTAAAAAAGGCTGGGATAAGGTCAGAAAATGGTTTTTTTTTTACCTGGGTGCTGTTGCTTTGAAGGATTGGAATGATGATGGCAATTCAGGCCATCCTAGCAATGGTAACAGCAATGTGTAGTAGTGAGATGCTGGATGTATTGTTTATGATTAGATTAAATGTCATTTCTAATTTAAGTCAATCTTGAATATAAGTTGAATCGAGTATTGAATTCGAAAATAATGCCCCTACGCATGCAATATTTCCGCATTATTAATCAAACCAATATTTCGCCCTATTATGTTTGAGTCATAACTAATAAAAACTATTTCTGGTGTATCTCTTTTGGACTATATCTAAACATATCAGAAAAGTAACCAGATGCAACCGTTACTGTCACAAAACGAGTGCTACAATGAACTCCAACCAGGGCTGACTTTATCAGACTAAAATAGTCTGATTGTCTAAAATCTCAGGGTATTTTCCTACGGATCCTGATTTTTCAGACTTGTAAGATTTTCAAACATGAGTGCCTCAGACTTACTTGGTTTTGGATCCTGAGATTTTCAGAGTACTGACTTAGCCGATAATGGGTCTTCATACTACAGGGAGTACGGATCCTGAAATGCGGATCTGTGATTTCTACGTACATTCCGCTACGTCATATGTTGCCAGTGTACGAACACACTTCATGGCGCTGTCACGCGCAGAATCTGTCCTTGGCAACTTTTGCCACCCTTTTCCCTTAGAAATCTGCCAACTTGGCTCACTCTTCCACTCACGCGGGACCATCACTGCAGCTACGCGGTGTCAGCGAGGGAAACTGGTTAGCGTTGCGCCCCACGTGCTACATTTGTGGCAGTACTGTACTGCAGTGGTTGTAGTGTGTTTTGAGTACTTCAGACTTGTGTTTTTGCGGAAGCTGAAAAATCAGAGTGGCCATTCTCTGGGAAATATGCCTCAGACTAAAAATTTTCAGAGCCCCCAGAACATCAGACTGGATTTTTTTGAATAGTCAGCCCTGACTCCAACAATCTTGGACGCGACTCCAATTACATTGACGAGAGATTTCGTCAACATGTATGAGAGGAGGACGAATTGAGGTTACGAGCCTTCCGAAACAGGCAACACTCCGAGGGACTCGGAGCAGTTTTCCCGCAAATTCGCCGAGTGCCTTCCCCCGCTATCTGAGGAGTACTTGCCAATCAATTATGTTGACTCACAATCGCCTCTAGCCTATTGCTGAGAATTTTCCCGCACATCACACTCTCGAAAACGCTCGATCTAACGCATAATTGCCCAGCGTACATTGTTCTTCGTCCGTTGCTGAATAGGGTGGTTAAATCGCCTGGTTGGAAGCGACGAGAGCGGAGGCGACTCGACGAGTAAGTAGTCCCGGGATTTTCAAATCCAACGGTATTCTAGGAAGTACCTACACATTCCGCATAACCCATCATGTGAATAGGCGAACATGGGAGAGGCAGCGAAGGTATAGCACCCTTTCAAAAGTACGACCAGCTTACTTGTATGAAAGCCCAAGTAGGCGCTTACCTTGAACAATACTAGAGCGTCTAAAGGCACTCAAATGCGAAATTTCCGCTGGCGCTTTCCGTTTGAGAAAGGACCATGCTAGTAGAAGCATCGGACAATACTCGTCAAGGAGCAGATGCTAGAAAGCATTTGGAGGGTTGAAAGCACGATGAGGAGGAATTGATTCTCCTGAAATTTCTGTTTGTTATGCATCTCAACTCTGAAACATGTAGTTCATATAGTTCTCTTTTATCAGAACCCCCACATCTCACGGCTATCGAAACCATTTTTTGGGCGTAAAGCACTAGAGTCACGTATTTTCCTGGGTGATGTGCACGTACCGGCGGTTGCTCATGGGTATAAGATGTTCACGTGAATTTCACCACCTCGACTTGGTAAGGGACTCTGGAACTTTTTGCAAAACTTGATTATTCAGTCCATAAATCAATGTTTGATACTCCGAGTGTTGTTGGTGATGTCCCACTCTGTAGCTAGCCATTACTAAGTGAATATGGAATCGGGATCCCCACCTGTTTGAGGATCAGTTCCCACTGGTACTTTCAGATCGGGCAGTCAGGGTGAAAGAGAAATGTATTCGGCTGGTCAAGCACCACACAGTCATTCGCGAACGCGATCAATTTTTGCTGGTACCCGTTTGTGATGGGAGCAAACTGCTTGAATCCCAATCTACCGCACTGGAAACGTGTGTAGCGTACCACACCGTCTAGAATCTACTGCGAGTCAAGTGACTCATCCAAATGAATTATATTAGGAACGCGTACCGAAGTTCTCGAAGGTGATTCGCTAGGGACTGCGATTCGCGATGGTGACTGACAGCGCTGAGCATGAGAAACTCGGCTTCAGCCCATTCACATCCACCATATCGCCCCTCTCAACCATACAAATACCCACTCCATTTTCCTTCCAACACCAGACCCACACTTCGGAGCTCTTCTTTCACTCGCTTCCGACTACCTGCATCCTCTTTACTAGCTACTCGTAGTAATTATGGCGCGTCTGCTTACGGCTCTCGTTCTCCTGCTTGCTGTCACCGTCACTCTCGCATCACTCGCTTCCACGGCTGCTGCTCGATCTGCTCGGCTTCTTGGCGACGGGATGACTACCGATGGTGAGTAGCAGGCCTCGATAACGATTGCTAATGAATTCCCTTGCGATGTTTACGCACGTGCGATAATGACGCGCATCTGGAAAAGCGATAGATTGGCTTCATGTGATAGATCCGCCTGTTACTCTCTCCCGCCCATCACCCCCCTCTACCTTTCTCGCTCTCCCCTCGTCGCCTGCGCTTATCTACGTGTCGGCACGGCGTGGCCGCAGGTGCGTCAGGAGCGGTAGACACCGCCGGCGGCGTCATCACGGCGGAGAGCGCGCCGAGTGATGTTCGGCCCAGGGACGACGCGCAGAGCCGCCGCAAACTCGGGTGGTTCAGTGATATTATCAAGAAATATAATGACTATAAAAACAGTAAGCATGATCATGTCAAGCCCTGCTCCACGTAAGGCTGTGCGCCCTTTCCAGAAAGCTCAACTTGAGGTAGATTGCGGCCGTTCGTTTGCTCCTGCCTCCAATGATGCCGCTTTTCAGTGACCCATGCTCTGAACTTAAGAGAAAAATAAAAAGCGGCCGTGAGAAGACGACTCTAACAATCTCTCCTTGCTGTCGCCCGTTTGCAGGCCGGCCCTGTAGTCCACAGAACGTCCCTGCCTCTTGCGTTAACCCGCCGGTCACGGACGCGGACAAGGCGTGTGCAGCAAAGCGGAAGGAGTGCGGGCTGTCACCCTGGTGAGAGGGAGATGCATGGTGGTGAGAGGGAGATGCATGGTGGTGAGAGGGAGATGCATGGTGGTGAGAGGGAGATGCATGGTGGTGAGAGGGAGATGCATGGTGGTGAGAGGGAGATGCATGGTGGTGAGAGGGAGATGCATGGTGGTGAGAGGGAGATGCATGGTGGTGAGAGGGAGATGCATGGTGGTGAGAATTAGATGCATGGTGAGAGGGAGATGCGTGGTGGTGAGAGGGCGATACTGCGGGGTGTGGTGCGGAATTCTGCATACATGCCGCCACGAAGTCATGTGCTAGGGAGTTGTTCCATATGCTAGCTGTTCCTTTGGAGCAAGCAAGCTTCACACTGTGCCTTCATTTTCACCTCATCCCCGTGTGTGCAACTGCTGTTGAGTCATCATGTTGGCATGTGCGCTGCATGGAAAGGCCATAGCTGTACCATAGCTGCGCGGCAGAGTCTTCGAGTCTATGTGGGGCCCGCCAAGCCTGCGTGTGCATGTGCTGAGGAACTGATTGGTACCTCCTCCCTACCTTGTCCTTCTCTCTGCAGATTGATTCAGCAGCCGCCAACAGCAGCGCCTCGCAACACTCACTGTAGTAGTTGCGGGCGCAGTGCTTGCGGGCTTCTGCTTGCTGTAGTGGATGTTAGGCTTGGATCATGTGTTTGGTACTCTATGTGGGTTATTTTGGGTACGGTGTAACCTTGTGTAGGTGGGTGCTTGGGTGCCTGGATGTCAATCAGTAACACAGTGTATCAGTGATTGTAACACAGAGTTGAACTCTAGTTCACCTATCGTATGACTCCTTGAACCCTTGTGCTGCATCTGTTGAGCAGCTAATCATACATGCATATGTTGTATCGTATAATAGCCTCGACTATCATCACTTCTCACCGCTTCGGTAGTTCGCCGACAGTGCGGCTACTTCACAAGAGCTAGTTAAGCGGCTGGTTGGAAGCGACGAGAGTCGCGAGAGGCGAATCGACAAGTAATCCCTAGAATCGGAAATCCGATATGTCACATCTACGGTAGACATCTAGCTGTTGCGCTAAAGAAGTGGGACTACGGCCTTTCGAAACAAAATTCAAGGAAGTAACCCAAAATCGGCACCGCATGAGAGGCGGAATCCCAAAATCGCGAGAGAAGGAGTAGCACCATTTTTACAAGTCTGGAATAATATGCAGTCGTGAGCTGACTTGGCTGAAGCCTAAGGCTGCTACTTAGAATATTTGCAGGTCTAAGTGAACTCAAACACGACTATGCCGCCCACTTCGACGCCACCTAATTTCCCGCGAAGAAAGTATCATTGCTGGAGAAAGTATCTGACAACAGTCAGCGAGCAGAGCAATTTCTAGACTTGAAGATTGGACGCGGAATCTGGTACGGCGCGTACCAGATACCCGTTAGTGTATCAGAGAACGCGTCAATTTGGTTCCTCTTGCTATCGAATCCACCATTGAGATGTTCGCTCTGTACCAAATCGTTCATACGTTCAGCCATGATACAGGATGCGAAATCTGGGGGGAAGTTGCGAGTGCAGTTTGAATTGCGCGGAAAAACATCGGTTGAGTTGGGTTGCGCGGCTGGTTTGCGCGGTTCGGCGTTGCTGAAACTGCAACTCGGGTTGCGGTTTCCGAAGTGCCGCAAAGGTTACACGCCCTGAGCCCATCAAAGATTCCCAGTCCGATCTGTTGGAGAATCGAGTTTCTGCCGCCCCAGCCCTTTGCACACAAGCAGCAGCAAGGGGGAATGTCGGCGATGAATCAGAGGCTTCGTGAAGTACTTCGAAAGTTCCACCACCAATCAGATTTCAGCCGAAGACTCGATACAGTTCAAAGATGCCTTCAAACCGAAGTGTTGGCAGTTTCTACAGGTTTCTACACATCAGAATCAGCTATAACAGAAATATCCAGAGTTTTCTTATTCATGCACCTCATGTGGCACTCAAAGTCACTCAAGGTCCATCCAATCTAGATTGTGCCCAAGTTACCAGGGAAGTTACATTGTCTATCAGCCTAGTTTGAGCTTTCAATCTGTCTTGTTTGTGATGCCTATAGAGTTGTGCTTTAGTGGGCTTGTTAATCTTGAACATAGTGAAGTTTTACCTCATCCAGTCAATTCCAGCAGCCCTGCTAAGACTTTCCAGCCCTCCAGTAGTCACAGCTACTCTGTTTTACAAGTTGGTATCAGAGCTCGTCGTTTCGATCAACCTAGCCCACCACGTTCCTATCCTAGCCCCATACGAACATGGCGGGAGACAATCCATCTGGTCCTGCACTCCAGCCAGCCGGAGGAGCTTCAGAGTCAACATCAGCAGCTACTGGATTAGTGGAAGCAGTTGCACCAGGCAGTCCTTCAACAACATACTCACCACTCACCTCCTTCATGCCTAAGCTTCACCTCCCCAAGTTCAACGGCAAAGATTTTCCAACATGGGCAACTCAGTTTGAGCTCACTGCATCCCTTCTGGATCTGTGGCCTTACTACACTGGAGAAGCAGCCAAACCAGCAGCAGATGCTTCAGAAGCTGAAAAACGACTTTACGAACGACGCAACAAGGAGGCCTTCCTCTACCTACTCAATAGCATTCACGAGCAGCAGTTGAAGTCGCTCCTGCCCTGTTCTACCAAGGCAAACAGTGCAGAGGAAGCATGGAGCCGACTGAAGACTATGCACCAGTCAAAATCTGAGAGCAGCCAAGCCGAGATGTGGAGCCGCTTCATGAATCTGAAGATGGAAGAAGATGAATCAGCACAAGCCTACCTACAACGAGCTGAAGCAATGTTGGAGGAAGCAGCAGCGATCGGCTTGGAGATTCCAGAGTATCTTTTCAAGACCGTCATCCTCACCGGCCTTACACCGGAGTGGGACACTTTCCGTGCAACACTACAAGCGCTCCCGCAGTCAATGAAGAGTCGTGCGTTCATCTTTGAGGCCCTTGTCAACGAGCAGCAGAGTCGAGACCTTGCACGGAACAAGCGGAGTGACGAAGGTGCGTGGAGTGCTGCAGCAGCCACAAGATATGGCAACCAATTCCAGAGGCAAGGAAATTTCAGCCCAAACCGCCCTCAACCCTACTACGGTACGAAATTTCAGTCACCTTCCAACCCATACAAACCCTCTCGTTTTCCTCAGTCAAGTCCTCCCTATAAGTCCAGTCCCTATGTCCAGCCAAGGCCTTCGATTCCCAATCAATACCAGCCTAGGAATGCAAGAGTCAATACGCCAAGAGTCAATAATTTCAGCCAAGCTCCGAATGCTAAAAAGTTTAATTTTGAGTGTTTTTGTTGTCATGAGTGGGGTCACCCGTGGTATGCTTGTCCTAAGAAGCCTCCTAATTGGGTCTCCCCACCTCAGATACTATCTGAAAAAGGTAAGGCAGCCATAGCAAATATAGCAAGTCATTCTACAAGTCAAGATGAGTCCAAAGAGTCCGATGGTCCTGTCCTTTTTAACGCTGCTACTTGCATGCACGTTTTCTCTACTAGTAGTGAGGAGTTTATTCTTGATAGTGGCTGCTCTGAAACCATGACTCCCTATCAGTCCATTCTCAAAGATTTTCAGCCCTCATATGACTCAAAAGCTGTGACTCTTGCTGATCTTGGCAAAGTACCAATCAAAGGAGTCGGCAAGCTTGAGTTCGAAAAGGATGGTAAGTCATTTTGTGTCAATAAAGCTTTGTTTGTTCCTGATTTGGGAGCAAACTTGCTCTCAGCCGGACAACTCGAAGAGAAAGGTGCCTCCGTTCTCTTGCAAGGGGGGAAAGCCAAAGTGTGGGACAGTGCAGGAAATCTGGTGGCTGAAGGCGAGCGTACCGGGCGGCTCTACAAGTTGAAGTTGGAGATTAAGCGCGGTGCTAGCAACACGAAGAACGACGTTGTCTCGCTTCCCGCTGTTTCAACCGATCAAGTCAACAACAAAGGGAGTATCTCCCAAGCTGAGGTATGGCATGCACGCTTGGGGCACGTGGGAGTGCAAGCATTGAAAGAGTTGGCAAATCACAAGAGCGTGGAAGGATTGAGTTTGAGTGAAAGTGCTGTCAAGTCCCTTTCTTCCGTTCCATGTCCATCTTGTGTGGAAGGTAAGCTAGCTAGAAAGCCATTCTTCCCTTCTAAGTCTCAGTCAAGGGACCTCCTAGAGTTGGTCCACACTGATGTCTTCGGCCCCATGCGAGACCCTACTCGAAACGGTAAGAGATATTTGGTGTCTTTCATTGATGACAAGAGTCGTTTCTCGTGGACCTTTTTCATCAACACCAAGGATGAAGTTCACAAGTGTTTCAAGCAATGGCTAGCACTTGTTGAGAGAGAGTCAGGGAAGAAGTTACTCACCTTGAGGTCGGATCGAGGAGGTGAGTACATGGGGAAAGCGTTTCAGGGGGAGTTGTTGGCATTGGGCATCAAACAACAGTTCACTTGTCCCTATAGTCCTCAGCAAAATGGAGTGGCAGAGAGGTTTCATCGCATTATCCAGGCTATAGCTACCACTTTCCTTCAGTTCAAAGGCCTTGACAAGCTCTGGTGGGGTGAGGCAATCACTATGGCAATTTATGTTCGCAACAGGAGACCCACAAGGCCCTTACCGGATGGTGTAACGCCATATGAGGCTTGGTTTGGAGTTAAACCAGATCTGTCTATGCTTCGTGTTTTTGGTTCCATGGCCCAATACCGTGTTCCAGATGCAAAGAGACTCAAGCTGGACAGCAAAGCTCATTGGGGCCTCTTCATCGGCATGAGCAATGAGAGCAAGGGATGGGTCCTTTGGGATCCTGTCACCAAGCGAGAAGTGGTTTCAAGGGATGTTGTCTTCTATGAAGACATGTCCCTTGCAGGTTGGCATAAGTTTTCCTCTTCCTCCTCTCTACCCTCTATCCAACAGGAACCAGCAAGCGCACCTGAGGAAACAACACAAGAGGAGGAAGAAGATGACACTGATTCTGACCATAGCGGACCGATCATCGATCTCCCTCAAGCCGTCGTCAACGAGTCCAGCCGTGCCACGCCAGTGCCACCAGCAGCTACTCAACCAAGTGGAGATGAAGTTCAGCCATCAAATGAAGACAATCCACCGCAGCAAGTCACCGTTCCATCACCACCAAAGGAGCAGCAGCCAACAGTCACAAACCAGCCAGCTATATCAACACCAACCTCACAATTTCAACGCCAACCGGATCAGCCCACCACTACGCCATCAAACCCATCACCAGCCATCACTCTAGAGGCAACTACAGAAGCTCATCATCATCCCATGCAGCAGCAATCAACAGCTACAAGACCCCAAGTACCTACATCAACACCATCTACGACTCTTCCTAGCAACAAGTCAACCGTCACCGCAACACCTCGTTCTCATACCACACGTTCATCACTTGTTCCAACGTCAAGCCAGCTCATAGCACGAGGATCACTTCAGCGAGTCACCACAAACACCAGCTCCAACAGTCCACTTCTTCACCTAAGACCTTTCTCAACTTCACCCCCACGTCCCGGATTCGGTCGTCGTCAGTTACCACCATCTTCAACACCGAGCAACAACAACAACCAGCCCCAACCATCACCACCTCTCGACAAGGCAGCGTCATCATCAATTCCCAAGCTTCTAGTCTCAAGATCCCCACCAAGAGCATCTTCACAACCAACTATGCCGACAAACGTTTCAGCTTCACCGCCACGAGTCACCATACCTAATCCTCAAGTCAACACCGATAATCAGGATATTTCCACGCCAGGAGAAGAACAAGCAGCCGTGCCGCCGTCGCAGCCGATGTCGCAGCCGTTGTCTCAGCCGCAAATGACCGCATCAACGCAATCAAACACTGTGAGACCGAACCCTACCACTAATGTGTCTCAGCCAGGTGAGGAGTTTGGTAAAGGTAAACGAGTCCGCAAGGTAAAAAAGCCCTTCACTTTCATGGTTGACATGCCATCAAGGTGCACATGTGAGGAGAGTGAGAATTGCATTCACAAGAAGGTAGAGGCAATATGCATGGCAGCATCACACCTTCCGCGAGAGCCCTTGAGTCGTCGTGAGGCAATGGCAAGTCCCGAGAGAGAGCATTGGTTGAAAGCCGAGGAAGAAGAGATTGAGATTCTCATGAAGCGAGGTACATGGCGTCTTGTTGAGCCACCTCCAGGGAAGAAGGTAATTGGTGTCAAATGGGTGTACAAGATCAAGGTAAAAGGTGATGGTAGCCTCGATAGGTACAAGGCAAGGTTAGTGGCAAAAGGTTATTCCCAAATTCCAGGTCTTGACTTCACCGAAACCTTTGCCGCGGTAGCAAAGTACACCACGGTACGAGTCCTCCTCGCCATAGCCGCATATCTTGGTCTCCATATCCATCAAATGGATGTCAAGAACGCATTTCTCTACGGTGTCTTGGAAGAAGAGGTATACATGGCACAACCCGAAGGTTATGATGACGGTACGGGTCGAGTGTGTCGCTTGGTAAAGTCCCTTTATGGTCTCAAACAGTCCCCACGGGTTTGGTATCATGCTCTTGAGCAGGTACTTTTCAAGCATGGTTTCACAAGGTCCATGAGAGACAACGCTCTGTACTTCATGCACACGAGTGAGGGGGAGTACATTTGGCTCTTGGTATATGTCGATGACCTCCTCCTAGTCTCAGGTTCTCTTGATCTTCTCAACAAGGTGAAAGGTATTCTCACAAGTGCATTCACGATGACCGATCTTGGTGAGCCGAGTCATTATCTTGGTATGAACATTGTGAGAGATCGTAAGTCACGGTCCATCTTCCTATTCCAGCAAAGGTACATCCAAAAGGTCCTTGAGAGGTTTGGTCTTGATGATCGCAAGCCATCACCTACCCCACTTCCTTCCAACTTTGTCCCTTTGTCTTCACATCAGCCCTATGAAGAGAGAGAGTCAAGCCTTGATATCATAGGTATTAAGGAGTTGTGTCTTGAGGAGAGTGAGCATCATGGTGAGAATTCACTTAAGGTATCCCCACAAGACCTAGCTCTCTACCAAAGTCAGGTTGGGTGTCTCATGTATGCAGCCCTATGCACAAGGCCCGACTTAGCATTCACGGTATCTAAGCTAGCTCAACACCTGAGTGCCCCTTCACCTATTCATATGCATGCAGCCAAGCGAGCTCTTCGGTATCTCAAAGGTACTTCTAATCATGGTCTTCTCTTCCAAGCCAGCCCATATGCAAGCTCCCTCCAAGGCTTTACCGATGCAGATTGGGCGGGAGAATTGAGCACACGCAAGTCTACCGGCGGCTACATCTTCCTCATGTGTGGTGCCGCTGTTTCTTGGCAATCGCGCAAGCAAAGTTGTGTGGCACTTTCAACAACCGAAGCTGAGTACATGGCAATGACCGAAGGAGCAAGGGAGGCAATCTGGTTACGTGGACTCTTGGAGGACTTGAGGCAGCCGCAAACTCAACCAACTCCGCTCTACGTGGACAACACTTCAGCCATAGCTCTTTCCAAGAACCCGGTTCATCATGGGCGTACAAAACACATCGAGGTGCAGTACCACTTCATTCGTGAGCAACTAGAGAAGGGAGTTCTCGCCGTCAACTTTTGCCGTTCATTCGATCAAGCAGCAGATTTCATGACCAAGGTTCTTCCACATGATGCATTCAACATGTGCAAGGCAAGAGCAGGCCTCATGACACTTCATGAAGCAGTGGAGCAGTTTGAGGAGAATGATGAGTGTGAGGGGAAGAGACGTGGGCAGCAGCATGAAGTGTATGCTAAGGAGATGTGAAAGGAGCATCAGCATGGGTGTATGTGTGCTTCGGGTCTGGTGCGAGGGGGAGTGTTGGAGAATCGAGTTTCTGCCGCCCCAGCCCTTTGCACACAAGCAGCAGCAAGGGGGAATGTCGGCGATGAATCAGAGGCTTCGGGAAGTACTTCGAAAGTTCCACCACCAATCAGATTTCAGCCGAAGACTCGATACAGTTCAAAGCTGCCTTCAAACCGAAGTGTTGGCAGTTTCTACAGGTTTCTACACATCAGAATCAGCTATAACAGAAATATCCAGAGTTTTCTTATTCATGCACCTCATGTGGCACTCAAAGTCACTCAAGGTCCATCCAATCTAGATTGTGCCCAAGTTACCAGGGAAGTTACATTGTCTATCAGCCTAGTTTGAGCTTTCAATCTGTCTTGTTTGTGATGCCTATAGAGTTGTGCTTTAGTGGGCTTGTTAATCTTGAACATAGTGAAGTTTTACCTCATCCAGTCAATTCGAGCAGCCCTGCTAAGACTTTCCAACCAAGTTTCCAGCCCTCCAGTAGTCACAGCTACTCTGTTTTACAAGTCGATCCCCAGTGCTCTTCCGTCCCATCCGCACACATCCATTGAACCGCGATTTCAGAAGAGGCATCTAGTAGGAATAAAAAGCTTCAAGCCATACCGTCTTACAAAGCCATACGAATTTTCGAGCCGCGCGACCGCCGCCATGTTCAAAAAGCCGAGCGACGTTCGCGGGCAGCAGCGTCTGTCAGGAGCGGACAGGAAGAAGCTTCGGCGAAACATCCGAGACAAGTTTCCAGGCGCCACTGACGAGCAGCTGGACGCGATCCTGCCGCCCAAGGTGCTCCTTTGTAGCTTTTGAGACGTCTGAAAGGTTCTGCCGCCCAAGGTGCTCCTTAGTAGCGATCCTGCCGCCCAAGGTGCTTCTTAGTAGCGATCCTGCCGCCCAAGGTGCTCCTTAGTAGCGATCTTGCCGCCCAAGGTGATTCTTAGTAGCGATCCTGCCGCCCAGGGTGCTCCTAGTAGCGATCCTGCCGCCCAAGGTGCTCCTTAGTAGCGATCCTGCCGCCCGAGGTGCTCCTTAGTAGCGATCCCGCCGCCCAAGGTGCTTCTTAATAGCGTAGCTACCCGCTTTAACCTCTCGTATCACCTCGCCCAAGGTGCTCCTTAGTAGCTCCCCGCTTTAACCTCGTATTACGCGATCTTGCCGAACAAGGTTCTCCTTAGTAGCTCCCCGCTTTAACCTCGTATTAGTACTCGTATTAGAACAATGTACTCCTCGTAGGCCCACGCATTCACCTCCTGATAACACGGCGTAAATCCTCGCCGATCTATTTAACCCCAACGCCGATTTATTCATCCGTTCTGGTGCTTGCGCTCTCCGGATTTCTCGATTGGTTTGTTTGGTGGTCCAGGCTGACGTGGCGGTGACGAGGCTGGTGAATCGCGTGCTGGTGTACGGACTCGAGAGCGGGCTGCCCATGCTCTTCGACTGCGACGGCCGCGGCAGCGAGATCTACCCCACTGGTAACCACATCGCCATGTAACCACACAGATACTCCGCTCTCCACCTCACTCCCCGCCCCTTCCTTCTGCCCGCTCCCCCATCCTCCCCTCTCTCTCCGCTTTTTTCCACCGAGATTTCCCTCTCAAACCTCCGTCCCATATGGGTTTACCGTCGTTCAGACCCTGACGTCCCGACCCTGTCACCTAAATGCATACCCCCACCCCTGTCACCCCTTTTCCAGTGTTTGCGCTGTGGCGTGTGCCTGACCTGGTGCCGTCCTTCCTGCTCAAGGGCGGGGAGATGGTGATTTTTCAGATCCTTCAAATGCCACCTGAAAGCCCTGTCACTAACTAAACCCTTAACCCCCGAAACCCCAACCCTGACTTCTCATCCGCAGTGTTTGCGCTGTGGCGTGTGCCGGACCTGCTGCCATCGTTTTTGCTCAAGGGTGGGGAGGTCTCGCGCTACGTGCTGTCAGGGGCTGATCTCATGGCGCCAGGCGTGCAGGTGCGAGTGGGATGCAGGTTTAGGGTGTTGCGAAGGTGGGGAGAAGTTAGGGTGCAGTGCCTAGTGCTTGAGAGGTCTCTTGCTACGTGCTGTCAGTGGCCGACCTTATGGCACCAGGCGTGTGGGTAAAGTTGCAGGGGGGGAGGGTAGAGAGCAGTACGTACCTAGGGCTTCCTAGGTCTTAGATGAGTGCTTGAGTGGCAGTAGAGTGGGAGGTGCCAGTCCTCTACACCCCTCTGCACCCCTCTGCACCCCTCTGCACTCCTCTGCCCGTCAGGTGCCCGCCGAAGGCCTGCCAGGGTTCCGACCAGGGGAGGTGTGGTCCGTGAAGGTTCCAGGAAACTCCTGCCCCATTGCAGTACGTGCTCGTCTCCTTGCATCACAAAGTTGCTCCACCGTTCTCCACCATTCTCCACCTTGCTCTATCCTGGTCCACCCTGCTCCACCGCTCTCCACCCACCCAATCTCCTGCCCTCCTTTCCCTCTCAACCCCACCACCCCATGCACACCAGGTGGGCATAACGATGGTGGGCAGTGCAGAGGCCGTGAGAGCCGGCATGAGGGGAAAGCTGCTCCGAATAACCCATTACTACTGCGACTCGCTCTGGTGCGAATCACTGCCCACTCTCTCTGTTGAGACGTCTCAAAACTCTTCCTAGTCACACGAGAGGCCGTGGGAACAGGCATGAGGGGAAAGATCCTCCGCATCACCCACTGCTACTGCGACTCACTCTGGTCTGCATCCGCACCCCATATCGCTCTCACTCTTTCAATCCATCCACACGCTATTCACAACGGACTTGATACACCTTTTCCGCAGTAGCATTTTCCGCATTCGTTGCCCCTGCTGCATTTTCTACACTCGCGAGCGAAGGCCTCTTCTTTTTCTTCTCCCTCTGGAGGTCCAGACGAGCGAAGGCTTCTTCTCTTTTCTTCTTGTCTGGCATCTTCAGCTAGCAGCAGTTTAGGAGAGGATTTAAACGGATGTCTAAACGGCAAGTAAAGACAGACATCCCCATTGAAGGTATTCCCACATTACCTTGAAGAGGGCCCCATTCTCATCCACATCACTGCCTGAGGCATTCCCACCACATCTGGTCGGGATGGTGCCTGGTTGTGGTGCTCGCTCCCCTGCTCTCACGCCTATCCATTCTCGCTTGTTCCATCCATCCCTCCTCCCTCTTCCCCCCTAATCCACCATGCCAATAGGGAGACAGCAGAGGGCTGTTATGTCCCCAACAGGGTCTTCCTGCCAGACCTGCTTGTGCCTGACATTACTGTGTGTTGTCTTCCCCCTTCTCATTCCCATTCCCCCTTATATCTATACATCCCCCTCTCCCACTCTTACAGGGAGACAGCAGAGGGCTCGTACGTCCCCAACAGGGGTTTCCTGACGGACCTGGTTGTACCCGACCCTGATGCCGCATCTGCTTTGTCAGAGGGAGCAGCACCTGAAGATTCACCTGATGGCGGCCTGGGTTCTGCTGGCGCTGGAGAGGGGGAGGGCGAAGCGGGGAGGGGTGATGAGGGGAGAGAGGATGTTGCTGGGGATGGGACAGCAGCAGCAGGAGAGGGAGCAGCAGGAGCAGCAGCAGTGGCAGCAGCAGCAGCTTCATCAGGTCACCTGTCAGAATCTCTGCAGCATCTGGGCATGCATGACACCACTGCTGCTGCTGATAACTCTGATGCTGCTGTCAGGGGCTGCGAGGGGGAACAAACAGCAGCAGCTGCTGCAGATGAAGCCGCACCAGCAGCACCAGCAGCAGCAGAAGCAGCAGCAGCAATGACGCCAGCACAGATGGACGAGTTGTTGGATCGCTGTCTGCTGCAGGCCCTCTCCGTCTCTGTCAAGCCCGCCCACCTGCCCCTGGGAGCTAGCACTCTCTGGTACGCTCCCTCTGGTATCCACTCGCGGTAGCCTCCCTCTCAGGTGGCATTGACACCGGCACAGAGGGATGAGTTGTTGGATCGCTGTCTGCTGGGTCGTCTTCTATCACGGTTAGGAAGGGCACCACTGTCTGCTGCAGGCCCTCTCCGTCTCTGTCAAGCCCTCCCACCTGCCCCTGGGAGCTAGCACTCTCTGGTACGCTCCCTTTCGTAACCGGTTTTTCCACATGAGGGTTATGTGATTCACTCTGGTAGCCTTTTCCCATTGCTTGCATGGCAGGTCCAATCACGTGCTGCCATGTCGGCCGCCTGGCACAACAGTGGACATCAAGAAGTCGTCTCACAAGAAGCTGAGCAAGTGGCTGCATGCCAAGGCCGTTGATGGGTTGGTGAGTGCGGGAGAGATTTATACTCTCACATGCATTTTCAACCGAATGTCGCATGAGCGCCTCTCCAAGTGGCTGCATGCCAAGGCCGTTGACGGGCTGGTGAGTGAGTGAGGCAGGGAGTGTGAGGTTTATACTCTCACACGCGCCCATCATCCTTCTGTTACACAAGAAGTTGAGCAAGTGGCTGCATGCCAAGTCTGTTGATGGGCTAGTGAGTGAGTGAGGCAGGGAGTGTGAGTGTGAGAGAGCGTGTGAGCATGAGTGGCTGCAGGCCAAGGCGGTTGATGGGCTGGTGAGTGGGTGAGGGAGAGTGTACACGCGCACTTCATCCTTTTGTTACACAAGAAGCTGAGCAAGTGGCTGCATGCCAAGGTTGTTGATATGTTGGTGAGTGAATAAGTGAGGGAGTGTGAGTGTGAGAGAGCGTGTGAGTATGAGTGGCTGCATGCTAAGGCTGTTGAGGGGCTGGTGAGTGAGTGAGTGAGGGAGAGAGAGTGTGAGTTTCTGCAAGTGTGTGCGTGTGCGTGTTCCATGCAGCCACCCCTTCCATTGCACCCTTCCATTGCACCCTTCCAAGAATCTCATCTACCCCTCCCTATGACAACCCCCACCTTTTTCCCTCCTCTCTCAGATAAGCGGCAAGCAGGGCAAGCACAGAAAGGAGTTCATCCTCTCTACCATCAAACTACCGCCACCCGACCTTTCCGTCGCACCTCTTCCATCGCACCCTTCTGCCCGCCCCCCAACCCAACCTCTCCCCCCTACCCCTCCAGATATCAGGCAAGGAGGACAAGCACAGAAAGGAGTTCATAATCTCTGCCTTTAACCGCACATAGCATGTACCCACCCCTTCCCTTACATCCTTTCCACTGCACAAATCTATATACCTCACAGATATCAGGCAAGGAGTTTATCCCCTGCCCCTCACAGATATCAGGCAAGGAGGACAAGCACCGCAAGGAGTTTATCCCCTCTGCCATCAACTACCCGTGGCATCATCTTTTCTGTTGCACTCATATAACCCCCATCCCCCACCCCCACCCCCTTGTTCGTTGCCCTCACAGATAAGCGGCAAGGAGGACAAGCACCGAAAGGAGTTCATCCTCTCCGCTGTCAATTACCGCCACCCGACCCTCATCGCCTTCACGCCAGACAAGACAAACAAGCCCCCCCAGACCCCTGCTGCTGCAACCCAAGACACATCCCCAACCGCACCTGGAGCACCGACCACCACCGCCACCACCACCGCAACCACCAGCAGCAGCGGTAGCGGCAGCAGCAGCAGTGGAGGGCTGACAGTAGAGGAGGTATTCAAACCTACCCACCACGTGTCAGCCATTTTCGAAGCCGTAGGGCTTGACCCACACGCCTACTATTCCCCCTCGGCTGCTCGTGAAGCTGCTCTCAACTACATCTCTCTCCACTCCCTCACCAAGCCCTCCGACCCCTCTATAGTCATCCTCGACGCACCGCTCTGCGACGCACTGTACAAAGGCGCGATAAAAAAGGGCGCCGCGTACCCCACGGAATGCCACAAGCGGGACGTGGGTCCGACTATAGTGAAGCGCATGCAGGCGCATCACAGGGTGGAGAGAGCTTCTATTGGGAAAAGCATCGTGCGCAAGGGAGGGTTGGTGCCGGTGCACATTCTGGTGGAGAGGCGGCAGGGCAACAAGAAGGTGACGCGCGTGTCGGGGCTGGAGGCTTATCTGGTGGAGGCTGAGCCTCTCGCTGCTGAGCTGCAGAGGAAGTTTGCTTCGAGCACCTCAGTGGCTGAAGTGCCAGGTGGGTTTTGGGTTTAGCAGGTGTGCGTGAGGGCTAACAGGGTATGTTAGTCACTGGGGCCAACAGGTGCAGGGGTAAAAGTGGTAACAGGGTTAACACGGCTAACAGGCACCAAGGGGCTACATTAACGGCGGCAGGGCAACAAGAAGGTGACGCGCGTGTCGGGGCTCGAGGCTTACCTGGTGGAGGCTGAACCTCTGGCTGCTGAGCTGCAGAGGAAGTTTGCTTCGAGCACGTCAGTCGCGGAACTACCAGGTGGGCTGGGCTCTGTAGATAGGAGGGCAAGCGGGTGGCAGGGCTGGAGGCTTATCTGGTGGAGGCTGAGCCGCTGGCTGCTGAGCTGCAGAGGAAGTTCGCCTCGAGCACGTCAGTTGCTGAAGTGCCTGGTGGGTTCTTATTGGTGAGAGGGCTAACAGGTACAGGGGTAGCAGGCACCAAGGGGCTACTCTAATTGAGGCTGAACCGCTGGCTGCAGAGGAAGTTTGCCTCAAGCACATGGGTTGCTGAAGTGCCAGATGGGTTGTGTTGCAGCAGATGGGGGTAGCAGGGGTGGCGGGGCTGGAGGCTTATCTGGTGGAGGCTGAGCCGCTGGCTGCTGAGCTGCAGAGGAAGTTCGCCTCGAGCACCTTAGTGGCTGAAGTGCCAGGTGGGATTTGCTGCTCCAGGTGGGAGGGCTGGCAGATACGGTGGTGGCTAGCAGGGGTAACAGGTGGCAGTGCTTTGTTGGTCTGCCAGGCGGTTCAGGTGTGTAAGGTGGGCTTTCGTTGCATTGCAACAGATGGGTGGGTTCGGCTGCAGCAGGTGTATGCTTCCCTGCTCTCCCGCTCTTCTCTCACCATTCATGCACCCATGTACTCGTCCATGCTCCCATGTACTCGTCCATGCTCCCATGTACTCGTCCATGCACCCATGTACTCGTCCATGCACCCATGTACTCGTCCATGCACCCATGCACGCATCACCCATCCATGCACCCATGCACGCATCACCCATCCATGCACCCATGCACGCATCACCCATCCATGCACCCATGCACGCATCACCCATGCACGCATCACCCATCCATGCACCCATGCACGCATCCATGCACCCATGCACCCATCCATGCACCCATGCACGCATCACCCATCCATGCACCCATGCACGCATCACCCATCCATGCACCCATGCACGCATCACCCATCCATGCACCCATGCACGCATCACCCATCCATGCACCCATGCACGCATCCATGCACCCGTTCATGCTTCCATACAGGCAAGAAGGGGCAGCACGAGGTGCTGATTCAGGGAGGCGTGTTGGATGAACTGGCTCGGCTGCTAGTAGACGTGCATGGCATTCCCAAGTCCCATATAGAGGTACTCGATAAGACAAGGAGGTGATACATGATACACCTTCTACCGTATGTGGATAAGGCAAGGAGATAACCTATGTGGATATTTTAGGCGTTTTTCGTAATGTGGCATTGATACAACCCTATTGGGGAAGGACAGGAAGGAAAGAAGGGGTAACCAGTGGAAGGAGGTTACCGGTAGTTGTTAGCAGTTTGGGTAGATTCAAGAGGATGATGAGGATGATAAAGAATGAGGGATGGGGAGCAGCAAGATGACTTTTGAGTCGACCCAAAAGTCACCTCGGATGATGGAGATTGAGGGATGGGAGCAGCAAGATTGCGGGGAGGAGGAAAGATGGGTGAACGGAGGGGAATGTAGTAGAGAGGAGAACACTCCCAGTAGATGGGCACAGGTTGTAAGAGCATTGTGCAAGGCAAAGTGAATCTCTAATACATATTCAACACCATATCATGATATCTCCCAGAAGACATTTCAATTACCGTAGGTGCAGCTAGTAGTGCGTGTTTGTCCTCAGAATTGCACCTAGCTGTTAGAAACCTAAGTTGACTTAGGACTTGGGTTGAGGGTAGAACGAGAGTTACGAGAGGAAGGGGTCGAGAGATTAGCCAAAAGAGGTTGTTCACTATAGAGCGAGCAGTACAAATAGGCAAGCATGAGAGTGCACCACCAAACAAGAACATAGAGCTACACTAGGTCTACACTACAGGCAGTTATAGTAATGTATACAAGTACATTCTGACACACCCCCTAACTGCCTGCAGTGAAGAACCATGTGCAGAAACACCCCCGGAAGGGGTACACCAAGCGCAGCGGAAGACGGTAGAGAGGAATGCGAGGAGGAGGAGACGAGAGAGAGAGAGGGGAGAGGAGAGGAATGAGGAGAGGAGGTGGGGGAGCCACGCGGCGAGCCCCTCTTACGAACCCCCGTTTTACGAAGGGGGGGGATGAGAGAGGGATGAGGAGAGGAGGTGGGGGAGCCACGCGGCGAGCCCCTCTTACGAACCCCCTGTTTACAAGGGGGGGTGGTGAGAGAGGGAGGAGAGGAGGTGGGGGGGAGCCTAGCGCGGCGAGCCCCTCTTACTAACCCCCTAATTCCACGCCCCCTTTCAGCCACCCCCCTTGTCAACCTCACCCCCCTTGTCAACCGCCCCTGGAACCTCACGTCTTCCCCCCACCCTTCCTCCAACGCCACCCCCTCACCCTCCCCCCCCCCCCCTCTCCCCCCCACCCCAGGAGGGGCGACAGGAAGAGAGAGGAGGTGGGCTGGCGCATGCTGGTCATCCCTGCCACCCCCTCACCCTCCCCCCCACCCCACTGCAGTAGGAGTGGAGAGGTGGAGGGACGGCTGTTGGCGTGTCACACCCCCCACCCCCACACCCTCCCCCCACCCCTTTCACGGCTGCACCAGCAGCAGGGAGAGGGAGAAGGCTGGCGGCGGCGTAGCGCAGCAGCAGAGTGGCGTCAACCACCCCCGCCCCCCAACACCCTCCCCCCCCCCCCTGGTGCACGAGCAGCAGTGAGAAAGGGGAAAAATGGCGGGCGAGGGTGCAGCAGGCGGCTGCAGTTGCGCGTGTGGCTGCAGCTGCAGGTGTCGCTGCAGTCGCGCGAGAGGTTGCTGCTGCGCGTGCGGCTGCAGCTGCGCAATTCGCTGCAGTCGCGCGCGTGACTGGTGACGTGTGTGCAGCTGCGCGTTCGCGGTTGCGTGCGTGCGGCTGTGCGCACTGCGCACCGCTGGACGGGGACGAGACGGGCCGGGGCAGCGAGGGACGGACGGGCTGCGACGAGGGGGCCGAAACGGGGCCGCATCTGGCGCCATCGCGCAGCTCGCCGTCATGGGCAGCGTGACGGACGGAAGCTGCGCGACGGGCAGCACGAAGCAGGGATCGAATGGGGGCGAAGGCGCCATGCAGGAGCGAGAAAGTAACAGCGGTGGGCCCATGGACAACAGGTCTTAGGAGCTTAAGTGCTCTGAAACCATGTTAGAAACCTAAGTTGACTTAGGACTTGGGTTGAGGGTAGAACGAGAGTTACGAGAGGAAGGGGTCGAGAGATTAGCCAAAAGAGGTTGTTCACTATAGAGCGAGCAGTACAAATAGGCAAGCATGAGAGTGCACCACCAAACAAGAACATAGAGCTACACTAGGTCTACACTACAGGCAGTTATAGTAATGTATACAAGTACATTCTGACACTAGCCCCACTAGAACGGATATTGGTAGAAAGGGTGGTGAGTTGAGTAGACAGCTTGGAATTTGATATCCCAAAATGTTGCATATATGGCCACTATTACAAGTACAGTGACACACAACATTATTCCCCTACTTGGACCTCATGATAAACACCTCCAGGCTCCAATCAACCCTCACTATCCCCTCCCTAGGAAAAGCCCAATTCTACCCTTCTCCCATAGAAAAGCCCAGGCCACTCGAGCCAGCCAACGTATCCACGCGACGCACAGGCGAACAGTGCAACCTACCCAAGAGGAAGAAAGAAAAACAAACGCAGCAGCCGAACGCGCAAAGAAGCATAACAAGAGGTTATGCCCCCCTCGCATTCATAGCTTCAACCTCGAGTCTTCAAAAAGAAATTCCCGCGAATCCAGGAGGTTCCTGCAAGTCCTTCTTGTGAGGTTGTTCGTCGTGGCTCATCGCACCCTCGGGAAACTCGCCGCGAGTTAATTACTACCACGGAAATCCGTCAGGCGTGCAATCACGGGGATCGTTTCAAAAAGCGTCATCTAGTCGTCGTGGTGGTCGTCGTCGTCGTGGTCGTGATGATCGTCGTCGTCGTGGTCATGGTCGTGGTGGTGCTCCTTCTTCTTCTCCTTCTTGGGCTTCTCCTCCTTCTTCGGCTTGGGCTTGCACGACTCGGCGCACTTCTCGTACTTCTCCTCGCACATCGGCGCCTTGTACCACTTGAGGCACTGGCGGCGGCGGTACAGGCACCAGTCCTTGCACCCCCACTTGCCATACTTGCAATTCTTGAACGACTTGTACGCCTTGCGCTCGCACACCGTCGACTGCGCCTCGCAGACCTCCTTCTCGTCCGCATTCGCCGCCTTCGCCTCGCACTTCTCCTCCTTCTCCTCGCACTTGGCGTATTTGATCTTGTACTTCTCAATGCACGTCAGCTTCTTCTTGGGTTTCTTCTCCTTCTTCTCGTGGTGGTGATGGTGGTCGTCGTCGTCATCATCATCGTCGTCGTCGTCGTCGTCGTCGTGGTCGTGGTGATCGTCGTCATCATCGTCGTCGTCGTGGTCGTCGCCCAAGAAGCGCCTGGTGGCGAGAGCTGACGCGGATCCTGAAATAAAACGCGTGGCGAGAGTCAGAATTTGCACATTTTGGAATAGAGACAAACGAGCAAACAACAAACGAACCAAAAATGAATAGCAAACGCTTTGACGTAAGTCACAGCAGCGGAATGACGGTACCCACCTGAAGTGGCGACGGCGCTGGACTCCGCATAAGCGGAGGGCGCAAGCAGGGCGACCAAAATCGCGGAAATCGCGATCAGAAGAGCGAGGAGCTTCATAGAAGCCATGGTGAAGGACGAAGGGGTGGGGAGTGAACTGATCCTCGAAACGACGCTTGGAAGTGAATGAATGAACTGGATTTCCAGCCCCAATTTATTCTATTTATTCTCGAATTTTTTGCCCCCAGATGCTCCTCCCGCATCAAACCTCAGGCGAAGCGCCGACGTTCTGGTCTGGTCTGGTCGACGAGAGACGCGTCTCCGCTGAATATCAGCGCCGATTTTATGGGCAGTCGAGGAGAATGGTCCATGAAATTTGTAAACTGTACACCTGCTTCAAAATTGCTGATCGAGAAATCCGTGCCTTTCAACCATATTATATCTAGCGCGAAGTCGATGTTATGCCTACATATCATAGTCGATGCTATGTCCGAAAGCTACTGACTGAAACGGGCTGGTTCAGAAAAAGGAACCATTACTTGAAGGCGTCACGGGAGGGCGGCGTCGCTAGCGACTCGGATTGTTGACGCGGTATCACTGCTGCCCCCTAACTGTGAGAGAAAGCCGAAAGCCATCCGATGAACTCCAGTCGACGTCTGAGATTAATTCACTATCCACCATTTAGCTGCCCGAAAAGGTGAGTACGTGGCATGCATTTCGCCTCGTTTCTCATCCTCACCAAACGACCTCCGTATAGGATTATGCCTAGTGAAGCTTCTAGAACTATGAGAGCAGCTACATGGTAGAGTTGCTTAGCTAAGGGCGGGTGCCCTGAAGAACAAATCTGCCTTACTCTACATGATAGCAGAAGGCCTTTATTGAAAGCGTGAAGAAATTCATACTAGAATCTTGGAACCTGTTACGATATGAAGTTTTATGAGTAAGGCATTCCTATATGCTGCAGGAGCCGACTCTACCGAGTACGAAGTCGAGGAGTCAGAAGAGTCGAAGCGACGCAGCAACCGTCTGACCAAGACCGATGCAGGCAGAAACACTTGAAATGAAAAGAGCGGGAACATGTTCAAAACGGGTTCCCGCGTCGCACGGTTTGAATTTGCTGTAATAAGGGAATGTACCCCTTAGAGTACATGGCTAGTCTAGGTCTTTTCGTATTCCCCTGTATTCTTATATAAACTCGATGTATGCATGCTTTTATCAACTCAGTCATTTACATTCACTCTGACCTGAGATTCAAATCTTCCGCTGCAACACTACTCTGCGATCAAACCTGAGCGATCCTTCACTAAGTCCCACTCGGGATTGTAACATGGTATGAGAGCTACTCAGGGATTCTTCGCAACCTCACTTCCGTGAAATTCGCCGAACCAAGATCTGGCGAGCAGCACACGCTCCAAGATCAAGATGGCCGGAGGATCCGGAGGCCAAGCAAATCTGACGGCTGAAGGACAATCCAACCCGGCTGCGACAAATGAGGCGACAACTACGATCGGCACTGCCGCTCTCAAGCAACTTTTCGCTCGACTTTCAACTATGGAGAAAGAACTCCAAGACCTGCGCAAAGGCGATGCGGGAACCTCTTCCTAACCAGGACAACC